ATTATGTCATTTTTCCAATATATCATAATATAAATTTTTTTGCATATCTAAGTAGCAAGTTAATGCTAACCAATATATTTTCTTTAATGTTTTAGAAAGAAGCACTTTTAGATAAAAAAAATGGCTTACAATTTTCCAAAGTAAGAAAATGCATTCACAAGAGAAGACATGGGAAAAAAATCCATCTGATTACAGAGGACAAGATGGAACACGGTGTGAACAATCATTCCTCTCTTGTGGCTTATGAGGTTACTCTGAGTATGAATATGGGAGGGTAGTATATTAAGGGTAAATTTCCATTTATGATCAAACATGATGAATATACATATTTAACATGCAGATGCAATTTATTTCGCTACACATATTCAGGGAACCAGTCTAGGTTCAGATCAGAAAAGGTCTCTAAATCCATAGCTGTCCTGGAAAGCTGAGGGAATTTCTAACAATTGGAGGATGTCTGAGTGACTTAACCACAGTCACGCAGGCCGACCATAGGTAAACATGACATAATACATATACATTCAGTGGATTATTTGTACAAATTATAACACAAGAATTAGATAAATATAAAAATGGTTTTTGAACAAGGATATACATTCAGCTACAATTTTCAATAGAAAAAAATTAAAACATTCTTAATTTTCAATATGAATGAATTTAATTTAATCCAGTTGCCTACACCAATTTTGCTAAAATCAGAACTTGTTTCCTAATGTTCAAAGAAGCATAACCATAACTAAGGCTTATTAGACTGCCAAAATGTCTTGGCCCAAGAGATCAGAATGTGTCTTCACATTTTTAGAATTTGGTTTTGAAAATATTTAGTATAATTGCATCGATCATCCTTTTTTATTAACATTAACCACCTACTACTTTATGAAGTTCAAATACATTTTTTTTGTGTGAATTCATATCTAAGCATTATAATCTGGTGAATAGTAACACAGGGTTGGGAAACACATATACCTGGGTGCATATTCACTCTCTGTCACCGACTAGCTATTTTCATCTGGGACAGGTTATTATTCTCACTGTAAAATGCAATACCAGGAATTCTTATTTCAGAGAGATACTGTGGAGAATTATTGAGACATGTAAATGGTGCACAATAATGGTACTTATTACTTTCACTTATTACCAATTACTGCTCTTATTTAGCAATTTCATTTTACATACGAGGTAACTGAATCTAGAAAAGTTAATAGACTGATCCAAGATCATTGATCATTCATTTTAAAGCCTGGATTACACCTATTAATTCTAAATACAATTACTTTGCTGTACAAAATGTTGATGGATTTTCGTTGAATTTATTATTCCGTCATTTTTTTTTCTAAAACTAGTAAGATGCATAATTCATGGTTTTTTTCATTCAGATCAAATATACTCTGCTCCATAATTTAGAACAGTGCCTTAATGTTTCACCACAGGCCAGAAATACCCCATTATTGAGTTCTTTGCAGACAGATGTTCTAGACCAGTGATGGCGAACCTATGACACGCGTGTCAGAGGTGACACGTGAACTAATATTTTTGGTTGATTTTTCTTTGTTAAATGACATTTAAATATATAAAATAATTATCAAAAATATAAGTCTTTGTTTTACTATGGTTGCAAATATCAAAAAATTTCTATATGTGACACGGTACCAGAGTTAAGTTAGGGTTTTTCAAAATGCTGACACATCGAGCTCAAAAGGTTCGCCATCACTGTTCTAGACTATAAAAATATGAGAAGGTGAAATCTCACCTACCCTCCCTGTACACTCAGAAATCCTTTTTGTCTGCAGGGAGGAAGATGTTTCCAGGTAATAATTTGGGAAAACACAGGACTCACTGTGTTTGTTTTCTTAAAGTATCACAGATTTACACTGCATTTGTCTGAAAACAATTATTTCATATATTTTTGTTTGCCTTTAGATTTTGTTTTTGCATAAGGAGAGAGGGTTAATCCAGTTTATTACGTTGTCATGGCTAGAAAGGGATGCTACTGTTTTATTTTTACTCTGAATATTTTTTAATTATTTTGTTAGAATACACTTAGTTGATTTATCTGGAAACTTTCTCCCATGTATATTAAAATATTTACTAGGTTTTTCCAGTACAAGTTTTTATACACTAGGGTTTTATCATTCAGTCATGATCAAGAGGGTTTTCTATACATTTCCTTTGCGCACATGCATTCCCTCTGACTTTGAACCACCAAGTCTAAACATACTTGACTCTAGAAAACATCTAAGAGTATAAGAGTTTAGTATTTTGTCCACTTCACAAGTGCTATTTAGGTAAATCATATTTTGATGCTCTAAGCTGGTTCATCATATTCAGGAACAATTATATTTTGTGTTTTCAAGTTTCCCTTTGCTAACATGTGCCACGTTCTGATTAACCATATTTATAAAAATTTACATCCATGATCATCTTTTGTAGATGATTACACAAAGAATTCCCAATTTCACAAGCTTCCCTTTTTTTTTTTAAAGTTTCTAATATGGGTATTTTGGTTGTCTTAACTAGAAATAAAAGTTTCTAAATAATACTATAACACAATTAGAATAATTGATCATTATGCATAGGTTTTGTTTTAAATTACATATTTTCTGAATATTATATATTTTTAACTTGCTGACAGCCTAAACACTAAATAGACTATTTTACAATCCAATGTATTTCATATATATATTATTTCATATATATGTATGTGTGTGTGTGTATGTATATATATATATATATATATGTTGTAAAATAGGGGGAAAGAAAGTGGCTGCATTCTCCAGCAACATCAGTAATAAATAATTAATTTATGTCTTTCAAAGTTGACTATCTCTACTCAATATCAAAGCCATAGTCAGTGGTAGAGCCCAGCAGCTGGCATGGCCAAAGTGAATACTTACTGGGAAATCAGGTGAGTCACAGAATGCATTTCATTGCTGCTATTGCAAAGCAATTAGCTTTTACTTCCCATTGTAGGCAGAGTCCAGAGTGTTCTTTAGTGAGAAATAGGAAGAAGTGTACTAAACCCATAAGATTGATGCAAAAAATAAAAATTATATTACATTTCTAAAGGTTACTATGTTTCTAGAATGGCTAGGGGTTGTGGGAATAGAGCATGTTCCAATATGATGTCAAATAATTCATTTTACATACGCACACTTGCCCTGCTTATCAGCTATCACAAGACTCCTATAACAAAATTAAAATGTCCCAAAGTGTTTTCAGAACTAATTGTATTTTCTAGTAACCACTAAGTCTATGAGGATCTATGGTTAGTTAAACTGAGTTTCCTGTGTCATACGTTGTAAGGAGCAGCTATAGAGTTAAGCCTCAGATTGACCTGTGGCAGAGCCACAAACAAATCCCAGTTTAGAGGGCAGAGCCGTCTTAGCATAATTAAGCTTGACCTTATGGCTGCCCTCTAGAACCTTCCTAGGCAGCTACTGGGC